CGCTATCCCAATTGTTAGCTTTTGCATTTAGAAAGGACGTCCTTTTTCCACGTGTCCATTCAAGAATTTTGCGCCTGCCAAAGCAGCACAGCAGCGAGTAGGACCAAGTATATCATTTGGATTTACTCTAATGAGCAGGGTTATAGAAAAGTCCAACAACACCCTTCAAGAGTGTGGAGGGAGGTTTGACTTTCACAGGCCGGTTTCTCTTCAAACACAAGTCAGTGGGCCACATGATTTGCTCAGCAATTCCTCCTTAGCTTCTTGTTGCTAGTAGCGATGCCAGGAGCCCCTAGTAGCGTCCTTGCTCCTAGTAGCAATTCCTCCTTGCAGAGCCATTCGCTGAGGCACACCAGCAGGGGTAGACTAAATGAGATGGCCTCGCATTTGCCCTGGTGCTAATGCTCGCCAAGCTCCGCCACGGCCACGGGTCTGCTAATTAAAACGAAAAGGATAGACAGGCGCTCTTGTAGCAAGGGGCATTGAAGCTAGCAAAGCAGGCATGTCTCAAAGCGTTAAAGCCACCAGGCATCTGGGACTCCACAAGGACTCAGGTACACAGTCAACACTGCTGCATGAGATCGGTGTACAGCACTCCTGCCAAACAGGCAGCTCTTAGCCAGTGACCAGCCATCTACTAGCTTCTTTGTTTAATAATTGTTTAATTGTTTCTACTAGCTTCTTGTTACTAGTAGTAAGGCACTTGTTACTACTAGTAAGGCACTTGTTACTAGTAGTAACAAAGAAAGCCCGCTCCTACTTAATTAAGGGCTACTAGTTACTAGCTTCTAGATAGGACGCAGGATAGCTCACGCTTCAATGGAGAAGCCCTGGCACTAATGATTTGGCTCCTATATGTTTAGGGAAACTTAACTTAGTGTACACTTAGGAAGGGTAAGAGAACATCAAAGAACAATGAACAAACAGTCAAAGGTAAGTCTCAAGGCTAGAAATCAAGGAACCACATAAAACCATGGGAGCGATTTTTTGACACAAAGTCTTTCAGAAACGCTTTGAGAAACCCTAACTGCGGGCGCTGCTGTGGGCATGTTCTGTGTGAGATTCAGCTTCATCTCAAGCACTGCCATGCAGTGCGCGAGTGAGTGCGTGCGAGTGTGTGGCTACATAATTACTCCACCAAAAAAGATGTGCTAAAAAGTTGGAAGAAAAGGGACACTTGCAAGACACTTTGCAGGACATACAGTATCTCAGAAAGGCAAAATGCATAAACCAAGTGTTGGAAAGTTGCTAAAACTTTGGCCTTGAACGTCACCTCTTATGCCCTTGCGACTCAGGGGGGCTTTGCGTCTTGGAAGTCGCAAACTGCTATAGCTGGAACAAAAAGGATGCTACTAGTAACAAGGGCATCGCTACTAGTAACAAGGAAGCTTTTGTTGGCTTTAGTCCTTTAGACTTGCGTTTCTGCCACTCACTTTTCCTAGTAAAGTTCCTGCTGCTGTTGCCGCCCAACAGCATTCCAACCAACAAGTGCAAGGCTGGTTTGTGGATGCGCCCACCTCGTCGCTCCACCCATGCCTTGCGATATCCTGACTCGTCTCATCCGCCTTTTGAATCCACTTGCTGGGATCACTGCCTTCGAACGAAGACACGATGTGCCCAACACAGTCTATCAGGAGCCCCTAGTAGCGTCCTTGCTCCTAGTAGTAAGGCCAGGAGCCCCTAGTAGCTTCTTGTTACTGATTCATTTTGGCCAAGTGGCATTTCCAGTTCTTGCAGAGTTTCTTCTCGCAACACTCTTCTGAAGAGCTGCCTCTGAGCTGCTTTTGGCCAAAGACCGCGCCAGCCCTCACAGAAGGGAGAGCTAACATGAAAATGGGAACGACGGACAGCAAAAGCAGCTTTCAATGAATAGAATGCACTACAAACTCCACCTAACCCCACCTCAAGGCAAAACCTTCCTCACACTTAAAATCCTTGCAAAGCTTGGGTTTGCAACAGCTTGGATTGCCTCAGCTAAACCACCAACTGAACTGCTAAGCTGCTATGGCAGTAGCACATGCATTCCAACAACTGGCCAGTGTCCACCGAGTTGCTGCTACCCAAAATTGCATGTGGATTTTTTTCCCATTGCGAGGCCGGCTCGCAGGTGTGCTTCGCACAATACAAGGGAATACAGCAATCCTGGCGAGCGAGCTCAGCTCCAAATCTTGGGTCTCCAAGTGCGGCATGAGAGAAAGTGTGCAGAGCGAACGTCAACCGTCCTGAACTGGTTGTTTTTAGTTGTTTGGAGGCCATCGTTGGAGGCCAAATAGGTTGGAGGCCATTGCTGTTAGGGGGGAAGTAGGCCGCTAGAGAAGGTGCTACAGTAAATAAGCTATTAAGTAGGACGCTACTACCTAGGACGCAACATAGCTCACGCTCACACTATTCATTTGGTTCCTAGCTGTTTTTGGAAAATTAGACTGTAAAGCCCATTTCGTTTCGCACAAACCTGGAGCCATCTGTGGGTAGCAGCATGTCTCCTCCAAACTGCTGCCAACAGTGGCACTTCTATTCCTTGCCCACTCATCGGTCGCATCGCACTTCACATGCGAACCTCCACATGCTCAGTCTGGCCAAAAGAGAATCGGAAACTGGCCAAACAAACCGGAGAAAAAAGGACTAAAAAGAAGCTACTAGGAACAAGTGCCTTACTAGTAGTAACTGTTGATCCCATGAGTGTGTGCTTGCCCTACGGCCCTGCGGCCCTGCATGGCCCTGCATGGCCCTGCAGCTGAGCCACATGAGATGGGATCACAGCATTCCTCGTCCGTACTGCCTTGTTGTAGAATTGCTTGTCCCTGCACATCATACCTCATGGAGTCATAGAGCAGGGACGTGGCATGCCAGCCTATGCTGCCCTCCAGCTCGTCGACTCATCTACCTCATAGCCTAATTGCAACATGCCAACCTACAAGTACAACAGATCCGGCATTTTTTGCACCAGCTGTTTCAGCACTCGCACTCGCATCGTCAATATCCAAGGCACCTTTTCGGCTTTTTGACGCTTCTCGCACTGCAAGTGTAATCATCACAGTCACGTGGTGTGCAGCACTCGCTCAACGTGCTGCCCAAAATGTGAAAACCGGGTTTTGGTTCCCATCCGCTGGAGTTGCAAACGCTACCCGTGCACAGCTTGGGAAGGCAGCATTGGTCTGGCCTCAGGGTGCTGAGTCAAATGGTTCTTAGTGGAAAGCCACGTGCATAATAAGTACCGGTTGGGGGCAGGAAAAAAGCACAAACACTGCCTCAAAGGTGTTTTTGCAGCAGGGGTGATTTCAGATTTAAGACGTCTTAAGACCTTGAAGAATCGTCAGCGGTGGCAAGATCAAAGGCCGAGATGTGGATAGTAAAGGCCAAAACCTCTGCCTTTGCGTCTTTGGGGTCGACAAGCATTCAAGATTCCAAGGCAGGCATGTGGAGTGCCAAAGGAGAAGGCTAGCAGCGGCCGGCATCTACATGCCTGCTTCTTGCACCAGTCAATTCTACATGACACATCGGGCCACTATGCAAATGGCAACAATTCAAGTGACTTGCTGCCGAAGGTTTTGCTGTAGTCCGGCCTGCGCAAACGTCCCACAAGCCACCTCGCTGACCCGGAAAAGGAAGCTAATTGAAACACAGTAATGACACAGTAATGGTCATATTGTGCTCAGATCCAAGTGATCCAAGCAACACTTATTGGACCTACAGTAGTCCACTAGGAAAGAATGTGTGCTTGTGGCACTTTGCATATGTCACTCTTGCTGCATCGTCTCAGCTGGCCAGCACGTCATTAAACTCATAACTTCCGCAATGGCCTCTTGTCGTACTTGGTCTGAGGAACGCAGGGCGCAGCATCCTCACAACGGATCTTTTGGCAGCAGGTGTTCCTGGCGCTGGCATTACTAGTAGTAACAAGTGCCTTACTAGTAGTAACAAGTGCCTTACTAGTAGTAACAAGAAGCTACTAGGAACAAGTGCATCGCTTCTAGTAACAAGTGCATCGCTTCTAGTAACAAGTGCCTAAATTGCCAGACTCTGTCGGGCCAGAAGCCCTGGCCTGGTGTGGCCTGTGACCTTCTCGGGATGAGGCTTAGGACTCCAAAGGCCATCCTTGCACATGCTTGGATTCTGGGTGAGGAAGTGCTCACAAGTCATCGGTCCTTGGAGAGTAAATCCTGAAGCAACTGGGATACCGAACCCTATAAGAATGGAGGCCATCGCCATTAGGAACAAGAAGCTACTAGCAACGAGGGCATTACTACTATGTAGCAAGAAGCTGCTATAAGTTGGAGGCCATCGCTATTGGAACCGCATTTGGCAAAAGCTTTCTAAAAGAACCATGTCACGGAGGCAAACGTTGGTGAAGATGATGGCGCCTGGTGCGGTGATCACTTCGTTGCCTCGATATTCCAACCGCGTATGTTCCGCCAGGCTCTCCACGCTGCCGGTGACCACAATGTTCTTCCGGCCAGCCCTTGGGACCTTAAAGACCTCAGGCTGTTGGGCGTCGCTATGCTAGGCACATCGAGGCCAGGAGCCCCGTTCGTAGCGTCCGATCGCTCCTAGTAGCGATGCACTTTGTTCCTAGTAGCTTCTTGTTACTACTAGTAGGTCACTTGTTACTAGAAGCGATGCACTTGTTCCTAGTAGCGTCCGATCGCTCCTAGTAGCGGTGCCAGGAGCCCCTAGTAGCGCTCTTGCCTAGGCACATTTTGGAGGTTGACACGCATTGGCAACCGGTGTGTTTCCCCTCCAAGTGTTGTGCGAGAGCCATTCGATGGATTTTCTGGTTTTGTCCTTCTGTGTTTTCACATTCTGCCTTTTCATCCGACTCTCCCTTTTCCAATTGGATAACTGTTAGCTGAATCAGGTGAATAAGTAAAACTTGTCTCAAGGGGTCACTGTTGTCAGTTCGCAGGATGTGTCCGGCAAGAGCGGTTCTTTTTTCTGAGAAGTGGGTCCGAAGACAGTACTTCGCGTCCTGCCATCTGGGACACCGTCCGAAAAACATCCTACGTCCTCGAAGTTTGTATTGAACTGCTAAGACCCATGAGTTTGTTTTGAACGGCTTGGTAAACACGGAGTTTCCATCCAGTTGTGCAGTTTGCTGCTTTCCAAAAAGGTTCGAGCCTGTACCACGCCCTCTCATCGTTTGTTGCATTCTGAGCCCTATTTCATGTCTCAGTTTCAGGGATTGCCAACGGCCCAGGGAAGTCCATTAACTGCATTGTTCGTGAGACCAACCGTGTCATCTGCATAGATTCTGTCAAAGTCTATGTCAGGTTTTCTGGCACGTCATGGTCAACAACCGTCATTACCAGCACAAATAGGTATGGAGTAAGGGGGCACCTTCCTCCAATCCCAGACTGTTGTTGCTTCGTTGAAGGTATTCCGAACTCATCTTCCACATAGCAAGTCACGTGGGAAGATCGCTGAAAGGTCAACTGATCTGTGGGGACACCTCCATTGTAACAAATGGGTGGTACAACACAGGAGCTTTCGTATGGCTCCCAAAGTGGAATCTATAGCGATGGCCTCCACCCTACTAAGTACTATAGCGATGGCCATCCAAAGTATGGCCTCCCAACAAAAACAACCTGAAATAACCTGAAATGTGCTCCAACAGGATGTGGCTCGGCCAAGGTGCCATAAAGCCTTCGCCACCCGCGAAGCCAAATTCTCGATCCTTGATGTCCGAGGATTCGGCCGTAAGGCTCAGGACCCAAGGCTTTCCAATGCTCCAATCCTCAGAACAGCAAAAAGGCCAATGCAAACGACGGCTTTGAGTCAGCTTTCAGTCAAAACGGCCAAAAAGCTCAAAATATATCAAGCAAGATTCCGGATGACCAGCTAAATGTTCTTGCAACTTCTGGGTTTGGGCTCCAGGAAGCACATCTTCGTGATATCCCTGACATCTTCAAGCTGGCAAGACTTCTCAGTTGAACCTTCTAGCACGGCCTACAGTGCCTACAGTAGAAACTTGCCAAGTTGCGATTCCCTCAACAGTGAGGTTGACCACAGGGAACTGGTTTTCCGGGCAGCTGGACCCTGCCGACCCAGTCTGCAAGTTGACCAACACTGCCTCAGAAAAAGCTGTCCAAACTTGAAGCGTGGCACTTGTTTCTACTAGCTTCTTGTTACTACAAGCGTGGCACTTGTTACTACTAGTAAGGCACTTGGTCAACATGTGAGAATTCCCAGCCTTAACTTCATCACTCCTGCAGAGCTTCATTGATACTCAAACTCTGGCTGTGCTTTCTGAAGCTTCGTCCTGGGGAGTTTGGCAGCCCAAGCCGGAAGAACGCATGCCAAAATGGCCTCGCATGTCGAAAATGCGAGATTCCCAAGGCAAAAGCGCAAAACATATTTTGCAATTAGATGGAGGCCATCGCTAGTAGGTTGGAAGGCCATCGCTTGTATTTAGCAATTAAGCACATTCCCAAAGGCACCTTCATTAATCGCATTGCGCCTCCTGCCACCTTGAGACCTCAGCCAAACGGCTCAAACGGCTATGGCTGCGGCATTCTACGGGTTGTTGGAAAACGCATTCGTAGCACTTTCAAAACTGCCCAGGTCAACACCCTTGAACTTGAGCCAAGACTCCGCCCTAAGGCTACAGGGGCAGGATGGTGCAGGGGCCTTCGCCCCCCTTTGAGCTTTCGTGGTTGCGGTGCAGGTGCATTGCCGGAACAAACCAGGAGACCCTCACATTGATTCTGGCTCACATGAGTTTAAATGGACAACATCGAGAAAAAGTGTCCCAATGACTTGTTACTAGTAGCATCCTTGCCAACTTCTGCTCCTCTTTCTCGCCGACCGGCTCTGAGTCTGAGTCTACCGACGTGTTGACCGTCGTAGTCTTTGACTGAGCCTACCCCCGAACGGAAATTGTTGCCTTTTGGGGGTTCAACAGGGTAGTGAAGTCCAAGTCCTAAGGCGAGCTGTGTTGGTAGAAAAGGATTTTTTTTCGGAATCACTAAGTTCTTTTGATGAGTTTGTCATGTTTTTTCTTGTTTTTTTCCTTTCCTCGTTCTTTTAGCCCATATTCGGTCTCACCGTCTTGACGGTCACGTCCAACACCACTCCGTCAGGAAGTTTGTTTCCTGAGAGCGTCCGGATGGCCAGGTCGGCATCTTCGGTCTGGCCAAACTTCAGCAAGGCCGCTCCGGTGCACACATTCGTCGTGGAATCTTTGAGAAGCCGTACGCTCTGAATGGCTCCAAAGGGTGAGAAAATGGAGTAAAGATAAAGCCTCACGGTGGCTGAACCCGAACTTCCAACAAAACAAGAGAAAAAGGGAGGCCACCGCTATTAGGGAAACGACTTTTCATGACTTTGATGCCAAGAGGCTCGTCGGCATTGGATGGCAGCCCCTTGATGTACAGATTCGTGGGGTCCATCGTTTGAGGAGCCACCGGTCTGAAGCCTTTCACTCGAGACACCTTGGTCTAAAGCGTCGGTTCCGAATGTTGCTCCTAGTAGCGATGCATAGCGATGCCCTGGAGGCCCTCAAGAGACTATCACTTAAGCAGCGTTTAGCAAAACAAAGCAACCTCGAGCTCCTTCCAAACTTTGCACCTCAAACTTCAAACTTGCAAACATCTGCGTAGTTTCTGCATACTTTTTCGGACTTCAGGCCCCTTTAGCCAGGCTTGGACCTGTCTAGATCAGTTTCGCACGGTTTGCCATGCGCCCTTGGCATTTTGGAGCTCCGGATCATTCCGGATCGGTGTCCGACCGACTTCCACGTCGGCTCCACGACACCGGAAAACCTGACGCCACTGCGCTGGCATGTCACTCCATCTCAGAGCTTCCCGCTTGGATCAGGTGATAGGTATATAGATATAGGGTGGGGGCCATCTCAGGATGGTGCTAAATGGTGCTAACCTGTTGCACTTGGAGTGAAGGAGGCCAAAACCTCGTGAACATGGAGCTTCAACGGCGCCCGGATGTATGGGGAGGACCTGCCCCATGGTCATGCAACCTTGCTTTTTGGGGGAGTACATGCTTCAAAGTGGTCTGCATTTGATTCGTCCAGCCCACTGCAGAACCTTTGACACCGGGCTGGAACAGGGCTTAGCTCGGTGTTGTCGATCTGTTCTGCCCCGAAGGGGTGTACTAGCAGCCCTGGCAGCTACTAGCAGTAGCAGACTGCAAAGCAAGGTGACCGAAGCAACCAACCCGTCACGCGTCGAAAACGCCTGCCGTTGCCCAACATCCCTGCGATGTATCCGAAAACATCGTCTGTCATGAATGATGAAGCACTGCTTCATTCGGCTTTCAGTTCTGATGGCCTCAAGCTTGACTGCCAGAACTTGCTGCAAAGCGCCGCTTGGATGGTTTCTGTCTTCCGAGATGGGCTTGCGCCCAACCGGGGTCACAGTTCCAGACGTGAAGCTTCCGGGATCAGTCTCTAGGAGCGCTCGGACGCTACTAGGGGCTCCGGGCATCGCTTCGAACGGAGCAAGGACGCTACTAAGGGGACTCCCGGCCAACCTAACAGAGCTTTCAAGCGCTTTGATCTCTAAAGGAAGACGACCCGTTTTTTCGGGACTTCGATCTGCCAAGTGGCCGTCTCACTGATCGCGAGCATGAACTCGGAGCCTTGATGCAGCGCACGCTGACGGCATTCCACACTGTGTGGATATGATATATCAAGTAGGAACAAGAAGCTAAGCTACTAGGGGCTCCTGGCATCGCTACTAGGAGCAAGGACGCTACTAGTAGCAAATTAATCAGACTGTCATGATCAAAATGTTGCTCCTTGCCGGTGCCTCATGCCAACGCCAACTGGATTTTGAGTTCTGATCAATTCCCCAATGGATATGTTGAACAGCAAGGGCTGATTGAAGTACCTCACCTCTCTCACCTAGGAAACGCGTGTGCCAGGCGACTGGCCGGGCTGGGCCCTGGGGGCCCTGTTGCTTTGGGAGGGGCAGGCCACGCAGACTCGGCAGCTTGTAGCATCTGCGAGAGCGGTGGCGATCCAGATGAGCCTCCCTGGTCAAGCAATCGGGCTGAGATCTTCTCTGGAAAGGACCATTGGACATTGAAACAAGAGTTTAGTAGGCCTAAATTGGAGCACATGTTCCAAACTCTTAAATCAATGTCCATGCTTTTGCTTAGAAGAGCTCTGGGCATGGCTCCACAAGAGCACAATTGGAAAAAGCATGCTTGCCTGGCATCATTTTTAAAGATGTTCTTCCTCTTTACCTAAACGTTTTCCTTCTTTCGGGCGTTTATCATACGTGTTGGACTTGACTATCCTCAACTACTACCCTGCGACTTAGCAAAATGAAAGACGTCCTTCTTTGGACCTTCAGACCTGTTCTCTTCTTTTCCTTGTTGCAACATTAGTCTACCAATTTATGACATTTCTCCCACCCATGAACGTGTGTAATTTCTTCCAACCCACCTTGCCGTAGGGCTCATATCGATTGGAGGAGGTCTCCTTCTCTACCGGCCGCTCGGGCGGAACCAGGCGTACAGAGAGTGGACGCTCCAAACCTGTCAAACAATGCACACAAAGTCCTCCAACCTAGCGAGGCCTCCAAACCCACACGTGAAATATCCCGAAATAACTCTCCTAACAGGCACCCAATATTCTTGAGCTCCTAATTTCAATGTTGCGATCTACGCTTATCTGCGTCCAAAGCCGCATTTTGGAGAGGAACGCCTGGTCACTCCGGTCGCGGCAAAGGGCCGTGCGTCTCGTTGGGCAAAGACTCCATGCTTTGCAATTGAGATGACAGGGAACCGTTGACGGCATGGAGTCTGAAGTGACACTGAAGTGGCACTCAAACAGTCGGAAACCAAGCCTTCAGAATCTTCAGCTGAAGAGGCAACTGGATCTTCAAACGAGGCTGAACATCGGAAACTGTGTCATGTCAGCCCCAAACCAAGAAGGAAGGAGTGCAAGGGCCCTGCAAGGGCCCTGCAAGGGTGTGCTCTTGAAGACTTTGAAACGCTGGTCGGTATTTATGTGCACCTGTGCCTGACAAGATGTTTGACAAAACTTGAGAAGGCGTGGCTAAGCGGTCAACCAAACCACCAACTGAGCGGCGTGGTTGATCCATCTGTGCGAGAACAGTGTGAAGGACTCGCGGGAAGAAGCTAGACATTGCCCCAACGCAATTAATTCTTTTTTTTAAGCAAACATTGTTACTACAAGTAAGGCATTTGTTACTACTAGCGTGGCACTTGTTACTAGTAGCTTCTTGTTACTACTAGTAAGAAAAGGGACGGCTCAAAGAGGCAGTGCAGTCGCGGCCAAGTCGAGACGAGAAGCCTGTGCTTGTCAGGCCAGACCCACCTGCTGTGGCAGGTTGCGCAAGAACGGCCTTGCCTTGTCAGGTCTCATGATGAGGATGAGTGTGTGAATGCCGTAGCTGAGGAGGAAAAGGCAAGCATTCCAAGATGGATGGCAGAAGCAAAAACAAGAATCCAGCACCAAACCCCTGCTCTGCTTCCCCACTCGTAGTACATGCTAGCTTCAGTGACATCCTTCCAAGCTCAATGCAAGCTGATGTCAGAGTCCTCTTGCATTTGGCTGCGCATTTGGCATCGAAGACGTCGTGGACATGTTCAATTAGCATTTCCACCTCCACGCCGATGAAGGCAGAAGCTACGAACGTAACAAAGGGCATCGCTACGAACGGAGCAATGTTCGCTACTAGTGGCTCCTGGCATTACTACTAGTAACAAGAAGCTACTAGGAGCTTGTTGGAGTGGCTTGAGCGAAAGAACATATGATGCTTTCACGCTCAATGGGCGGTTCAAGTGATCCAAGTGATGCTTCATTGGGAGGTTTTGGGCAGCTTTCACCAGATTCTCTCGTCATCCACCGTGACAGCAGCAGTGAACGGGACAGCCTACACGCCGCTCTGCAAGTGGTTGAGGCTTTGTTTAAACTCCCGTGCCCTGAACATGCAGCGCTCTGGGGATAGGTTCACACTTGAGAGAACAGAAAGAAGAAACAAGGGAGATGAACAAGGGAGAAAAACGACTAAAAGATATAAGAAAACCAAAAAAACTAAAAGCAAAAACACAAAGAAAAACAAAAGACATGCGTCATGTCTCGTAAGGCCCCCGTGGGCCTGGAGCCCCATTCTCGGACTGAAAGAGCACACCCGTGATCTTTGGAGGTGAAAAGAACGCCGGTTTTTCGCATTCTTTCTGCAATTTTGCTGAACCGGTCTAAAAACCAACGCTTCTTTTGTTTCGGACTTTGCGAAGAAAGGCGGAAAACGAAGGAAGCTTTACCCCGTGCCATCCATGCCGCTTCCTTTCTCGTTTAGTCTGGCCTTGCAGGACATGTCCATCAAAGTCGGCCACTAAACGCTCAGCCTCTGCTGGTGGCAATCGCAGCAAGGCAGAGGCTGGAGAGCCTTGCGCATTCACGGCGTAGTGCAGCGAGAGTGCAATGTTGTTACAAGTAACAATAAGCTAGTAGAAACAAGTGCCTTACTAGTAGTAACAGGTGAAGCTACTAGGAGCAAAGGGCATCGCTACTAGGAGCGATTGGACGCTACTAGGGGCTCTTAGTGCATCATAGTGCATCATAGTGCGCTGTTCGATGTTCAAAGTAGAACTCAGTTGAGTCCACCTTGGCTTCCATCGTCCAAGACTTTAGCCATGACCTGACGATTGGAATGACATTTCACGGTCTTCGCAAATTAGTATTTCAAGTTTGTATTCCTAAGCTACTAGTAACAAGGGCATTACTACTAGTAGCTAGAAGCTACTAAAGACAAGGGCATCGCTACTAGTAACATAGAATGCACAAGAGATGCTGCTTTTTTCTTTGTTCCTCACAGCGGAGTCGAAGCGGCCAAGACCTCAGACCTGCTGTCTTATCCACAACTTCATGGCATCTAAAGAAAGGTCTCCGTATGCCGCCACAAAAACGTAATTAGTAGGTTGGAGGCCATTGCTACATCTTCCTTCAGAAAGGAAACTTTGAAACCTCCGGAAGGAGCCTGACCATATGCGCCAAAGAAGGATTGCAGTTGATCAGCCGAAGTGCCTTGAAACAAATCCCGCTACATGGCAAGTCCTGCTGCCCAATGCATACAGTAACAGGCGGTTGAATTGAGTTTGACATTAGAAAACTCAGGAGGTCACCTGGGGGCAAGCCGCTGATGTGGACTGTAGAAGGTGCCACCTCCTCAGCCCAAGCACCAGATGCTCCCGTCGAGGCTCCCGTCGAGGCTCCCGTCGAGGCTCCCGTCGAGGCTCCCATGGATCCTCCCATGGGTCCTCCCACGGCCCCCATACCAGGCCCGGGTCCCGCTCCCGGCATTTCCTGAACTGCTCGCAGCACCGATAAAGAGAAAAGAAACAGTGTCTAAAGCACAAAGAAAGAATATTGAAAACAGAAAAAGAGAAGGTGTGTTTTAGCAGCTCTGTAAGCAGCACCTTCAATATTCTTCAGCGAAGCAGCTCTGTAAGCAGCTTGTGCCTTCTCTGAGCTGTTGGCATATTTCACGGTGAGCTGGTAATCTCGGTCCTTAGCAACTTTCTCGGTCCTTCACCGAGAGTCGATCAGTTTGAAATCAGTTCATGAAATCATTTGAGGCGGACTCGTTTGTTCATCTCTCATCTTTGATTTTGGAGAGGGTGGACGGGGAATGGAGAGTTGGCACGAGTTCACCTGCTGAAGAGTCGCAATGATCCGATTATTCACACCATTGATCGCAGCTTCAGCTTCCTCCGGCACCGTGTAGTGCACAAAGCCATACTGCTTGTATATTCGGGCCTTCACAAGATGTCTTTCCATCTCAAGTTCCCACCCCCACCCCAAAAAATACAGGCCTCTCGGGCCAATTTCACGGAAACCACGTTGCCGAATTTCTGAAACATGTCCTTCATCCTCGCTTCATCCATGTCCTTGGAAAACGGCCATGTGGACGGTTCATGTGCACCATCTGGAATCAAGAAAGTCAAAGGCTGTCAGGATGCCAACCTTCTGGGCAGCTCCCAAAACCACAAGGCACATCTGATAGCCCTCTAACTCAATCCCCATGGCCTCCATCCTACTAGTGATGGCCTCCAACCTAGTAGCGCTAGCTAGTAGCCCTCTAAACTCCATTTTGCCGGTTGATGCCGTTGATCGCTTGGCGACGGAAGGTTTCCGCTCGCCCGGGGCTTGAGGCCAATTCGAGACCAGGTGTCACGTTCGTGAAAGCTTGCACAGCCGAGCACCCACAAAATCATCAAAGCGCAGAAAACCCAGTTGTTCTGGTTGTTTTGATGAAAACCGTTCTTTTCCTCCAAATGTTCCGATATTTCCCGCCGTAGGACATCCATGTGTCAAAATGCTCACCTGGACATGATTCCCGTCCACAGATTTTGCGGGCCAAAGCAGCTGGAGGCAAACCACTCACGTAAAGATTGGTCCCTCGCGTTACAGGTTCAGGAGGTGGAGGACTCCTGTCCAATAGGCCACTTGGAGTTTTTGTTTGATCGAAACCGGAACCAGATGTCGGTTTCACCACAAGGTCTAAAGCCAACACATCGACACGCCCCTCCTAATTGGATGTGGCCCTGTGGTATCATTGTTGGCCAAGCGCACGGTCATCACGTGACCATTGAACTCCCGGCCATTCATCCCATTCAAAGCAGCTAGGGCCTAACCAACGAGTGGTCGGGCTTGTGGTGCTCTGTACTTTCTGCATTTCTGCACTTGGCATTTTTCTAAGGACTGGGAACAAGAAGCTACTAGGGGCTCCTGGCCTTACTACTAGGAGCAAGGACGCTACTAGGGCTCCTGGCATCGCTACTCGGAGCAAGGACGCTACTAGGAGCATTTTTCTAAGGCGACGGCCATCGCATCCGTGCGGAACTTCACAAATCCATAACTGGGCGATGTGGGTGTCTTCCCGTAAAAGGTCCGGACCGATGCGACCTTGGAAGACTAGACAGGTCGTGACATCGCTTGTAGGTCGTGAAGCACGCGAACCTACAAGCGATGGCCTCCAACCTACAAGCGTTGGTCATGCTTAATCCAAGCTACAGATCTAGAAAAATACTTCTTCCCACTTCTCCAACCCTGTCATTGGACCAGCGAATGCCTGCAAGAGGGACGCACGCATGCCTGCAAGCAACACTGCTACTGTCCGCCACCTGCTTGCTCCTATGTAAAGCAACCCGCGTCCTTGCTCCTAGTATGCCCTTTGCCTACCTTTCCAGACCCTGGAGTTCGGGGACAAACGTTTTTCGCCGCCGGATACTTTGACAGGCTCCCACCGAAGAATTGGAGCCCTGCTTCTTGGACTTGCATCACGCGGGGCACTCCGCGAATCTTGCCCGACAAAAGGTTTGGTCTGAGTATGAAGTGAGGGTGACTGGTCAAGGGATGTCAATGCTTCTCACCTCACGGATGCCCAGGATGTTCAAAAGGCATCAGGCGGGTGAATATTGACTTGTGGGGTCTGTGCAGCTGCCATTGCTTGGCTGCTGCTGGCGGAGATGGTGTCCACGTCCATGCCACTGCTTCTCAATGTCACCGAAGCAGGCTGCTACATCAGTGAATAAACCACCTTCTCGGCAGCTAATTACTTCGCTGCCAACTCCTGATGAAGCCTTTGAGAAAAGGAGGGCACTAATTGACAAGGAAACCCAATGATCAGGTGAATCCATGAACAACTTGCTCTACACCTGCAGAACCAACATATGGGATGTGGCCAAACAAAGGTGTTCGATCTCGGACAGCTTGGCGCTGCCCAGTCCAATGAAGCTGACCGCGGTGGGCGATGTGTTCTTCGAGATAGCGAACCAGGAACAGTTTGCTGTCCTTCGAAAGCTTTTTTGGTCGGGAAACGTGAAACGTGGTCTCCTCATGATCCTGGGCGAGCTGGATTTGTTACCTTGTTTTGGGCCGTGAGCGGGATCATTGGCATTGTGGAAAAAACACCGTCCACGCCTGATCACACTCTGTTCAAGGAATGTCCGACCAGCCTAGCACATGGGCCATGCGAAAATGAAGACCGAAGCGCTTGAGCTTTGGCATTTGTCTTGCTCACTCCTTTGCCACACCGGCTGGGTTCCAACGAACCGGTGTGCGTGTGTGTGTGTGTCCACCCCTGGACAAAGGGTTCTCAACCAACTTCGGCAGGGGGCCATCCCCCTCCCCAGTGGCGGATGGCCAACGAAGAGGCCACTGGGGGGGGCTGCAAACGTACCTGCCGAACTGTTGTACAAGCTGTCACTCCACTCTTTCTTTGTTTGTTTCCAT